CCGAGTCGAGGGACTGTCTCCAACGACCCAGGGGCGGAGCTGCGAGGGTACGTCACCAACCCCTCCCCGAAGAGCCCCAAATGGTCACAAGGGGACTGCACAGGACCGAAGTCGCAAAATCCATCAGCAATGGAAGGGGACGTGGAAAGCACTCAAGTAAAAGGTTACATCAAACACTGGACGTCATATCTTAGCTAATATTCAAGAGATCTACAAGAAACCAGCAAAATTTCAAGACATAAATTGCATCCCAGACGGTACCCTGGAAAGCGGAGCAATCAGAGAAGATTTGGCAATGACGCATCAGAGCGGCAGAGGAGCGCTCGCCGCCGGAGGCTGACGGACAGATCCCCGGAGGACTCCGGCCGAGTGACACACGCCCGATCCCATCATGTAAGTCCCCTGAAATTATCCCATGGCGGCTGGGTGGGGTAAGTTAAACTGGGTTTTAAGAACTTTATATTATAAATTAACAACGTAACGAATACAGTTAAATTTCAGTACCGTACAGGCTGGACGCAGGTTACCAAAGCTTATTTAGGAATATTGTGTGTGGATTTTACCTGATTGGTTATCATTCGGAAAATGTGTTGTAACTTGGGAAATGATTTAATCTATGGAAGAAGCTATGGAAAAGGCAGAACTTTTCGTTAGGAATCAGGACCTTCGTGGGTTCGAGGAAAACTGGCACATACAGCGTAATATTTTGTTTCCAGTGAGTGAATCTGGCTCAGTTTTCGGAACGTGTAATAAGATATGATCCGTTAAGCTTTGTTGGTTGGGAAAACTTCGAATGATTAACTGTTAGGTAACCATTACCAGACCAAAGTATGATATCAGTGTAAAGGAAAATGTTCACTATTGACTTATCGTCGCTGGCGGAGAGGCGTACCATTTCTTTACTGCTTTATTGTTAACGCTTGCTCGCTTTGCTTCGTTTCACAAATATATCAATGTGTTATTTTCATAAAGAGTCTTGAGGGAAATTTCGGGAAAGGGTAGAAAGTTATCAGTACGAAATGAAGGGACGGAAAGAGAGGGAGAACACGAGGGTAAATCGGGACGATCGGGACAAGGGAGAAACATGGGCGGCAGCAGAGAAAGACGGTAGCCTGCGCACACTGACTCATCTGCGCACTGGTCGGAGGCTGAGGAGCTGGCCCGGAGAGGTTCCAGAAAGGTGAGTGATTTTCTTTCATTGTAATGTTAAGGTGTTCCGAAATCAGTAGAAGGCTTTCTGTAAATTCTCGATTCTCCGAAGGTTTGTCCAAGTACATAGATATCAGGATAGGATTCGGGAAGTAGGATTAAAGATACCTATTAGGATGTACACCCGTTAGTTAGTTTATAGTCGTGATCGGTGGAGCGGGAGACGTGAGAGTACAATGGCCGGCCGTGCCCGTGTCTGTGCGCTGCTGCTGGCGTTCTCGGCTGGAATTGTGCTGTTGGAGACTCGTGTGTGCGACGTGGACGAGTGCGCGCTGCGGCCCTCGGACCCCCGATCATGGCAGTAGGGGCCCATCGGAAGCGGAGGACCGTGCCGGGTCCCCGATCGTCATGACGTTTGGTCGCGAGGGCGATGGCGCGCCGGGGGGCCCAGTGGAGGGGGCCGACGCGGGTAGTGAATGCTCCGAGAATGACAGTGGCGAGGTAGTGGTGCGCCGAAGTCGGCGCGCTCGGCGGCCGATAACCTTCTTCGGCCACGTGCTGCCGATCGACGCGATCGGCAGCAGCGGGAGCGATGAATGATCCGGAGGATCAGGGCGGGGTGTAGTGTGTAGCCGACTTATGTGCCCCGCGCCCTTGCCGACGGCTCGCCGGCGGGCACCCGACTCTGTCTCCCGGCGGCCCGGGCGCGGCCGCCCCGGTTACTTGACCCGGCCGGCTAAAGGTCGGACCGGCTCCGGCCGCCGCCGCCAGCCCGCGGCGGGCCCGGGGAGGGGTACTAGACTAGATTCGGTGAGTCAGTTGGACTGGAGGGTTGGTGCAGCGTGCACGTGCGGATAATACACCGGTAAACTACACCTTCCGATCTGGTCATGCCCGTTGTGCGAGAATGACCAAGAAGTCGAGCACGTCGACCCGGTGCGATGCGGCTTTTACTGAGCATCCCCTGTCCGGCTCTATACCGTCATCCATGAAGCCGTGTTCATCATGTGGCAGGAATTAAGGAGCAATTCTCCAGGAACCTCGCTCACTGCGTTCGTCGCGGCGCTCCAGGAACTCGGGAAACGCTTTGGCTGCCCGGGAGCCGTCGCCTTCGAGCGGCTACAGAAGGCCTACAACGGAGTGGGCGTGTCTCCGGTTCGAACTGGAGAGGATGACAAGCTCCGACCGCATGGTGTGCGCGGCGTGTGGACCGGAGCCGCCACTGGTCCACCTGGACGGTAACGCAACATTAAACCGTTACCGGTCTTCAGGGAGCGGTGATGTCTCCTCTGCATATCATCGGGGGCCATTCATTGAGGACAGTAGCCGTGGACGCACACTTCGACAATACCAAGAATATCACCAAGACAAGCAATCGTTGCGGCATCTCTTCATGGGCTGCCGGCCACAACGATGCGGGGCGCGTTCCTTCAAAGAAGTCCCAGAACGAGACCGGGCTGATAGTGGCTACCTGCCGCCACAGCGTGATCCTGGGCGGCGTGAACACTGAACATGTTTTGTGGGGAGCTGTACGCGTACAGCCACTTCATGCACCAGATGCGCTTCCCGAACGTACAGTACTTCGCAAGCGACATCGTTTGCAAGTACTGGCCGTGGGCACAGCGTGTCGCCAACCGGTTCTCCGAACACGAAACCGGCCGGACGAAGCCGTTTCTCAGCGTTATGCATGCCACAGGACATGCGTATTACTGCCAGATATTAGAACGTTGAGAGTGTTAGAATGAAGAATGCCATCGCGAATTTTATGGGTACCATATTGCCGGCATGTGATCTTCATTATCGGCAATGATATGACACAGGCGGAAAAAATAATGCATTCGCCACGACTGGTTTTGATATTATTCATAAGCGATGCGTGGTTGCTGGTAAAAAAAAAAACATGTTCGCGACTGTTCGCAAACTGTTCGCAATCTTGTCGCCAGCAGTGCGGGCCGGTGTGAACAGTACGAACAGTGCTAGGACAGATGCCAGGTATAGGCATCTTCTTTTCTCTGCAGCGACTGTGTCTCAGACATTCAGCATATCCCTTCCAAAGGTAATCAAAAAACGGCGTCACGGTGAAGAGATCCCTTTTATAGGTGGCGGGTGGAGTGGAGTTTCACTCGCAGGGCAAGGCCCTCACGAAAAAGCTCCGCCGGCGCCACGTCATCGTCGAGGAGTGCCGTGACTGGTTTGAGACAGACGGAGTGCATCTATCGAGAGAGGGGTACCACAAAGTGGCGCAGGCGACTCTGTTCCCAGGGTGGCTGGCTGTGAACAGCAAGCAACACTGAACTCTGAACAGTGAGCTGGGCAATGTGACGAGTAGTTTTTTTTTTTCGTTATGTTCATTTCATTTGTGTATGCATGTGTGCGTCTCTTTCGGGACGTGAGTTTTCTTTCTTTCGAGGGAGTATTGTTGCGCATGTTGAGTTGCACGTGTTTTGGGCTGTGCGATCGGCAGTCGGTGGAGTCGCGAGGCTCGCTGGGGCCGGCTGCGTCTGGCCGCGGCCAGCGGATGCGCATGCGCGGTGACCGGTCGGCGGGCCGACTATATAAGGCCGTTAACCCCGGCTCGGGTCTGGGCATGAAATGGTCAATGTTGAGTACTGCGTATTGAGTACTGTGTACGAAGAGTACTGTGCAGAGGCACATGAAGCACTCACTTGCTTGGCCTCACAGCTTACCAGAGGGCTCAACAGCCGAAAACATCATAAAACAGCAAGAAAAGAGGGTCGAATTCTGCCTGAAGATCAAAAACTGGACGGCGAAGGACTTCAGTCAGGTCATCTGGAGTGACGACTCTATGTTCGAGCATGTCAAGGAGCTCACAGCCCTTCTCAAATCACCCTGGGCTATGATCGCTACGCTGCAGAACCTCGAGGCTGGCATGCCGCAGCGTGAAGCGAAGTGTCTGGCCATGAAGGGAGAGCATATCGGACGGTAATAAACATCTACAAGTGCAATTCACCCTGTTTTGTTCAAAAATTTCATGTGAGAAAGAACTTTTGGGACACCCTGTATATGAAGAGTGGATATGCCGTCGATGTCGTCTATGTTATCGGCGGCAAGCAGAGGGAGAAATCCCCCTATATTAACGTACTTAATGCGGCGTTGAAGTGCAAGTCGCCTTCACTCCTTTGCTTGGCCCGCCCGGCTCTTTTCCTGTCTCATGTCCGCCGCGAGAGAGCTCAGCACAGCGCCCGCGGCGAGACTGCCGCCCTGTGATCACCGCAGCGCATGTCCTGCTGTGGACTGAGGTGTCTCGCCCTAATGGCCTGTCGTTTTCATTGGACACAATACACCCGGCGACCGGGGACGCACACAGCGTCGACACGGTGGCGGCTCTGAGGGTCGCCTTCGTCTGGCTGCGCTGTAGGCCGGACGGAGCCAACAGCAACAAGGATGCCGCATACCGACTAAGTTAGCTCATGGATGTCGGTAAGTCTATACAAAATGAAGACATTAAAAGGTTTTCAGCATTAGCTTCTACCTACCAACCATAAACTTCGGTGATGTTTTTTCTCCTAACATTGCACAGTGAGCTGAGATTCCATCAGACTCACTTGAAGAAAAATACTTGAAGATCTGCGCAACAAGCTTTAATTGGCGAAGATTTTGGATTATTACGTAGTCTTTCTTTCCAAAAGCATTTACTGGGTAAAAATAAAAGGAGATGTGCATCATTGCAAGAACTTGGGAAATCAAATTCTGATGTTTAAGAGCGGCACGGCAGTGTTGGCCCCTAAACAGCAGCCTCTGCAGCTCACGGAGAGCGCGGGCTCTCGCTGTGGGTGATGTCACACGCCCGGACCTCTGTCAGCGGGCTCCTGTGCGCACGGGCGGCTCACCTGGGTGACGAGTCGTCCGCGGCCCCCGGCCCGGCGCGGTCAGCTGGGCGGCTTCAGGACGGCGCGCACGTCCTCGGGCAGGCTGCGCAGCACGTCGTGCAGGTGCAGCCGCAGCTTGGAGAGGGTGGTGGCGTGCACAGGCAGCCGGTCGGCGCCGGCCTCGGCCAGCTTCCGGCGCAGTCGCAGCACCAGGTCCACCACCTCGACCTCGGGCCGGCCCTTCACCCAGCTCAGCACGTCCTGGGGAGGCAGACACAGGACAGCTGAGTCAGCCGAACACTGCACAATACCACACGGCCCTTCACCCAGCTCAGCACGTCCTGGGGAGGTAGACACAGGGCAGCGGTCAGTGGACAGTACCGCACCACCTCGACCTCGGGCCGGCCCTTCACCCAGCTCAGCACGTCCTGGGGACACAGGCACAGGGCAGCGGTCAGCGAACAGTACAGCTGCACCACGCCGGATACATACAGCATGTTTGGAGCCAGTGACCGCTAATCACATACGACTACGTAGACACACATGCAGATACTCCCAAAACATACATACAACCAGTATAGCGCCTTTTGGGGCGACTAACGGAGCGAGCGAGAGGGTGAGCCTTGCACGTGCGAAATTTCGAGGGGGTACCTCCAACTGACTTGTGCACGGCACCCTACTAACCGGTCTCTAGCGATGTGCCAAATTTGAGCACAATCGGCCCAGCCGTTCTCGAGATCTGGAAGCGGCACCCTGCACGTGCGCACGTGCAAAATGGGTCCCAACTGACTTGTGCACGGCACCCTACTAACTGGTCCCTAACCATGTACCAAATTTGAGCGCCATCGGTCCAGCCGTTCTCGAGATCTGGAAACGACCCCTGCACGTGCGCACGTGCAGCAGCACCCCAACTCTGGCACATGGATATTAGGGTTGTTCAAAAAAACCGAATTTTGGAAAAGTATACGGGCTCATGGCTCGTGTGGTGAGGTATTCTTTTCTGAGTCCAACGATGCCCTTTTTTCCGAAAAATATCAACTGCTTCATGCTCCCCAAACGGCTTGAAGAGGACCTTGTTACGCCCGGCGACCGGCCGGTGTCAATAAGGGCGAGAATTCGCCGCCGCGCGGGGGCGGAAGCGCCTTATTGACACCGCGCGCCACGACATCTACCGGGCGGCCGGCCGGACGGTGGGAGGGAATGAATGGGTGGTCTTCTTTCACATGATCGGGGTGCACTAGCCCATATTGTCGGAGCGGAAAGTTTCAGTGCAGCATCGGTGCCTCTGCTGTGGTGTTCTGTGTCGTTTGTTAAAAAAATAAGCCAAACAGAGCTAAGGAAAGACTCAACGCTTCTGGTTTATTCACTCGAAACATCCCGTTTATAGAAAACAGCTGCCTACTTAACGTACCATATCGCTTTGTTTATTAGTCAAGCTGCAAACTCGGAGCAATAACAGTTCTTTGCACTGCTGTTGACAACGTACATTGCATTTGGAAGGTGCATCGCAGCCCAAATATGCTGCTGCGTAACTGATGTGAAAATTTATGAAGGACAGCAGGAGCTGGCAGGGTGCAAGGACAGAATATGGAGACCCCCACAGTCATTGGCCCAAGTTTTTGGGCATGGCTCTGACCAGCATCGGCGTCACTAATGTCATTATGCAGATTCGTTGAAGTAAAATGCTGAAGCAACAGGATTGAGGTTTGTTTTACTTAGATTAGCAGTTCGACAGAAAAGATAACATGTCTGGGAATGACAGGGTGGCCGCCCTGACAGTGTGGCGAAGTGAAAAGTGAGTAGAGACAATAGCGGGAGTACACACATAAATAAATTGCGTCGCTCAATCCAGCAGCGGCACCGGCAGCCCGGCCGTGCCGACCGACGTCGTTCAAGACCCGAATCCAGAGCCGGCATAGAGCACGGCTCTGCCCTGGCGTGACACATTTCCCCGACCCGCCGGCGTGCCATGACGGACCGACCAATGCACGACCTCTCCCTGTATAAAGACGACAATATATACAGCATGGCAGGGATGCGGAGCCGGAGCCGGAGTCGGAGCCGGAGCCGCCGGAGCCGGCATATTTTGCCCGGAGCCGGAGCCGGAGCCGGAGCCGTGAAACAATATAGCCCGGAGCCGGAGCCGGAGCCGGAGCCGCCAAAAAAGGGGGCGACTCCGGCTCCTTTTTATTTTTTGAAGAGGAAAAAAATAACTGACCTATGTAGTTCGGTTTGACAGTAAAAGGCAGTAAAACATATGGTACTATTGGTCTCAAGATAAGGGCCCAGGCGACCTGTAGTTTTGATGCGGTGAATACCCTCAACCTCGCCACAACTCGAGTGGGGGTGGCGCTGGCTGGTAGGAGAGGTGCACTCGGCCCGAGTTATGGCGAGGGTAAGGGTATTCACCGCATCAAAACTACAGGTCGCCTCGGCCCTTATCTTGAGACCAATAGTACGTCATGGGCCATCAAGTGAATGAAAAAAGCCGAATATCCCCAGTATCCCACAGTACGCAATAAACTTCCTGTCTGCTCCTCCCCCCCCCCCCCCCCACGTCTACTGCATCCCCAGAACATGAGGACCGGTCATCAGGTGACGGCCATTGTTTTGAAGCCAGTGCAGTGGACTGCGACTCCCAAGTCCCAACAACGTCTCTTCCCCCCCCCCCACCCCCACCCCCCAATGCAGCCGAGACGGGTGTCAGCTTACGATGGTTCAGTGAACTCCGATTCTCGGCGACTGCGTTTCCAATGTCCTTTCCAATGCTTTCTAGTCCTTTGTTCTGCCAGTTCTCTCCGAGGTGCGTTTGCGCGGGGACGCGGTGAGCCGGTCATGGCAAAGAGTAACGCGGCCGTATAGTCATAACATTTCGCCACGTGCTTATATACCCTGTTCGCTGATTGCATGTGCTGTTGAGAAAATAGCCTTAATTGTTAGTTGTTATGCAAATACAGAAGCTACGTGTACCAATCCAATTTTTCTTCCACCCGTATTTAATTGATTGCATGGGAGATGTACTGAGTCGGAGCCGGAGCCACCGGAGCCGGAGCCGCCGGAGCCGGACCATTTTACTCGGAGCCGGAGCCGGAGGCGGAGCCGCCATAACATTTAACCCGGAGCCGGAGCCGGAGCCGGAGCCGATTTTTTTCTCCGGAGCCGGAGCCGGAGCCGGAGCCGTCTGAAATTTCCACGGCTCCGCATCCCTATGATGCATTACCTATCAGCGTCTAGTTCGACTTCGTATTCAGACCCGGCAAAGAGAGCACGGGTCTGCCCTGTTTCCGCGGCTTCTAATGGCTACATTGATACGAGACATCTCCAATCGTCTGTTTTACCTATAGCAAAACCAGGTTGGTGTGTTGCGATTAGCACGATACATTTATTGCGTAGATATATCTGTTAAATGCATAATTAATTAGAAATAGGAAAAGTAAACATTGCCATCGTCATTCGCCAAACAGGCGGGGTCAAGCATTAGTCTGTCCGTCATGACACACCGGGAAATCGTCAGGGCAGAGCCGTGCTCTATGCCGGCTCTGGATTCGGGTCTTGAACGACATCGGTGGGCACGGCCGGGCTGCCGGTGCCTCTGCTGGATTGAGCGACGCAATCGATTTATATGTGTACCCCCCGCTATTGTCTCTACTCACTTCTCACTTCCCCACACTGTCAGGGCAGCCACCCTGTCATTCCCAGACATGTTATCTTTTCTTTCGAACTGCTAATCTAAGTAAAACAAGCCTCAATCCTGTTGCTTCCGCATTTTACTTCCACGAATCCGCATAATGACATTGGTGACGCCGATACCTACTGGTCAGAGCCATGCCCCAAAACTTGGGCCAATGACTGTGGGGGTCTCCTAATCCTTATTCTGTCCTTGCACCCTGCCAGCTCCTGCTGTCCTTCATAAATTTTCGCATGCAGTTGCGCAGCAGCATATTTGGGCTGCGAGGCACCGTCCAAATGCAATGTACGCTGTCAACAGCAGTGCAAAGACTGTGTTATTGTTCCGAGTTTGCAGCTGACGAATAAACAAAGCGATACCTATGGTACATACATTAAGAAGGCAGCTGTATTCTGTAAAAGGGATGTTTCGAGTGAATTACCCAGAAGCGTTGAGTCTTTCCTTAGCTCTGTTTGGCTTATTTTTTTAACAATCGACACAGAACACCGCAGCAGAGGCACCGATGCTGCACTGAAACTTTCCGCTCCGACGATATGGTCTAGTGCACCCCGATCATGTGAAAGAAGACCACCCATTCATTCCCTCCCACCGTCCGGCCGGCCGCCCGGTAGATGTCGTGGCGCGCGGTGTCAATAAGGCGCTTCCGCCCCCGCGCAGCGGCGAATTCTCGCCCTTATTGACACCGGGCGGTCGCCGGGCGTAACAAGGTCCTCTTCAAGCCGTTTGGGGAGCATGAAGCAGTTGATATTTTTCGGAAAAAAGGGCATCGTTGGACTCAGAAAAGAATACCTCACCACACGAGCCATGAGCCCGTATACTTTTCCAAAATTCGGTTTTTTTGAACAACCCTAATGGATATGCAGTGCCTAGTGGGTGCCTACCTACATGCCAACTTTCAGTGCAATCGGCCAAGTAGTTACCGAGATATTGCAACAATTACAAAACTGACACCTCTTCGTTTTGCACGTGGCACGTGCATAAGGGGTCACCCACATGCATCGGGAATAGTCCAATGCTTGGTAGAAGGAATGAAGCTACCCTACAAAAATTACCCCGTGTAAATCGGTCAAGTGGTTGCTGAGATATAAGCCTCGCAAAAGCGTCCGCACGGCCGGCCGGCCGGCCGGCCGCTCATACTCAGAAATTTCCGTTAATCTAAGGAAAGACTACGCTCGCTTCGCTCGCTCCGTAACCACACATAGTTTCAAACAACCATACTCCATCCAGCCAGTCCTTTTTTACATATCGAAAATTCCAGAACAAAAATAATTGCTGGTGACTCCTAAAATGTCATGAGTGTCAATGGGTAAAATGTCATAAGGTGAAGTAGCTTACGGCGTCACTGAGAGCCTCCAGGTGCAGCGCCCTCAGTTTTCGACTGATATCGTCGTGCCGCTCGTTGAACCAGTGGCTGAAGTTTGCTGAGCGGAAAAACCGTCTGTACAGGCCAACCTGTGAGCGGAGGACGGCTATCAAAATCACGGGCAGATATCGTAAGAGATATTTAGCATAAAATCACAATTACAATTCTACTAGGACAGCCCACACCAATGCGTAGGACATCGTATGGCATTTCACCAATCGCCGGTAGTTCCCGATAAGTGTTTGGATTTTGATAAGCACGCTAGCAAAAGTCGAATGTCAGTCGGACTTACCCAGTCGCCTTTGATGCCAGTGGTGAGCTGCGGGCCCGAGTCCGCCAGTCTCTCACAGAACTGGTCCGGATCGAACGGCCGCATCACGGGAGCCGCCTACCGGGCAGGACGAAAACAACAGTCAGTGGAAAATCTAGGGTGGCACAGCGATGATGACCCACACCCAACGTGGCGTTTTGAGACATCTGAATTATCACTGCTGCTTATCGAGTACTGACGTGTATGACTCACCTTGTAGGGCGATATGCTGCGCTGCAGCGGCATCAGTGTGGCGATGTATCGCTCCAGGGGTAGCACGAAGCTTTGCGTCAGCTCGAGCAGGTAGCGGCGCAGCAGGGCGCTCTGCACCTCCTGCGGTCGCTCCGTCTGCTGGCCGCTCCACAGACGCTTCTCCAGACTCTTGTCTGTCGGCGCGAAATAATCCGATAACGATAGCGAAGAGATGGTGGCACGTTACCTAAATTTGTGAAAATACAAAACCAACTAATATAAAATAGCCGTAGCAAATTGCTAGTTAAAAGGATACGTCTCTGTCCGCTGTGTATACGAGCCCCAATCACAGCCGCAGCAGCACGCGCGCGTGGTGGCTCCCCGGTCCAGACTGCCGCCCGCCCCGGGCCGTGGCGGTGATCTTGGCCGCCGCGCCGGTCGCAGTGGCGCGCTCAGTGGGAGGCGGATCCCAGAGGCGCGCCCAGCAGCGTGCCGGGAGGGGGCGCCACACTTCGGCGGCGCTCGCGCGTAACATTAGCGCAAATAACCCAACACAATCATGACACATGATGACATCACAACGAGCAATCGATTTCGTCACGCGAGCATTTGATGTATCATCCACGTGCGTCGTGCATCAAAGGTTTGATCATTGATGCCTACTATTCTATAAAAAAAACTATAAAAACTATTTTTAAAAAATCCACGCGTAAAAAGAGGACTTACCCTTTTGTAGAAATGGTTTGTACTGGGTGTAGAGGCCGGGCTTTCCGTCTAGCGTCTTCAACGAACCTCCTTTCTTTGTCTTGTTTTTCAACTGACTGCTTGTCATACCTGAAAAGTGAAAAACGAGAGTGTCTATGCATAGCGTCGACAGCGGCTGTATGTCACTCGGCGACTCAGTTAGCAAACAGGTCGCCAGCTCACATACACCCGGCACCTCGGTCAGCACAAAGGGCGTCAGCTATCTGACCGACGACTGTCCTGAGATCTCCGGGCAGCCGGAGAGAACATGACCCGAAGAGTACAAAACTACAAAGTCTGTACCGCCGGGCCGCACCAAGGCTCCTGTTGCATTGACAGCAGATAGCAGCAGCGTCCGTATGCGGTGTCAGATCCCCTACCGGCCATTGTTACAGACATACAGCGCTAATGTAACGAGCTAATGTTTGTGTTCTTTATGAAGGAATATATTTCCATTGATATCATAACTGAAACTGAGGAGCTAGAAGACCTAGCCTGAGAAAGCTACAGGCACTGAAAAATGGTATTGTACTTGTAGGTATTTTCAAAGAGATGCTGTGTCGATTCGGTCTTACGTGCGGCGGGCGGGCTCTCGCCGAGTCGCAGGATATGCGGCCAGTGCTGCAGCGTTTTGGCGAAGAACGGGTTGGTGACCCCCAGGATGACGGGCGGCGGCGCCTGGTTGCTGCCCAGCTGCGTCAGCTCCTTGAAGTCGGTGTCGTGGATGGTGAAGAACGGTCGGTGGTCGCCGCAGTAGCGCAGCGGCCACACCAGGCTGGGGAGCAGCGTCACAGCCCGTCACAGCCCGGCACAGGCGCGAAACGACCAGCCGCCATCGATGGCTCGCTTAGCAGCATGAAACATTTATGTCCCAAAGACGCAAACCAAAAGTGAGTGGAACGACAACTTAAATGAGAAAATGTTTCTCGACCGGGACAGAACAGGTACATTTAATAGCACAATACAATGATGCGGCGAGACATCATGCACGGGTGAACCAGATCAGAAGGGCGGGGCAGCGGGTCTAGGTCGGGGCGGACGCATATCAGGGGCGCCGCCGGGACAGATAACACAAAGAAAAAATAATTATTTTACAACAGCAGACCGGAAGGCAGCATAAGACAAAAACAGCTGTTAAAGGCAGAACAAAATTGTAAGCACGATTTCGATGGCGCAGTGCCCGATTGATCCTCTAAATCTCTCTAATGCGGACGTGCATATTCACCTGGCCAGCGCCTGGACCACGTGGCTGCTGACAGCCGGCGTGGGAGCCATCACCACCAGCGGCTCGGCCGTGATGACCAGCTCCCAGAGCAGCTGCGCGTGCGCCAGCAGCGGCTGCAGCGCCGTGAACAGCTCCGGCTCGGCCACGCTGGCCACCACGGAGCTGCTGGCGGCGGCCGGACGAGAAGGCCGCCGCGGCAGCGGCGCGCACGGCAGTAGCTTGTCCTCCTGAGCCGGCAGCCGCACCTGGACATGGTGCACAGGACGAGCTTTGTCAACCTCGTGGGTGTGCTCTGCTTTACACCAATCAGGTGTGGCTGAATGAATGACCGAGGTGAAGAAAGTCGCAGAGGGTCGGAGTGTATGTCTCGAAGTCTTGTGCTAATTTTGGAAGTCACAATTGTGGTTGATGCGTCTGATTACATCTCTCAATATTTCCTTTCTTGCTTACTATAAATTGCATCATTTACTTTTCCACTGAGGGAAAATATTGTCCAAATCGGCAACTTCCTTGAGGAGTAATGACTTCCAAATTATTCTTCAACACTCGCCTGAAAGCCAAAACGCAACGTAATAAGCAATTTAAATAGCAGAAAACAAATGAATTTTAGAGAAATTAATGACAAGTATAGCCCCATTCCGATGTTGCAGGGCACGTGAGTAGGCCGCTCTCAGCGCACCCACCTGGAAGGTGTGTCCGCGGACGGGCAGTGCCAGCGAGTGGCCCGGCACCGGCTCCGGCCAGCGGTCAATGTCGGCACAGGCCGCCTCCAGCGGCGCCGTCGAGCCGTCGCCGTCAAAGAACTCGGGCGCCACCAGCTCCATCACTTTGGTGAACAGGTTGACGAACGGATACCGCGTCAGCAGCACCACAGACTGAAACAGGTGGTGTGTGAGTCAACGTGTCAGTACCCTGGTTATATGAAAATGTTCATTATGAAAATATTCACAATCAAACGTTGTCATTCATTGGATCTGTTAGCCTGTCCAGCACAAAGACATCTCAATGTCATTGCCGTATCCAAAAATAACACCTTAACGAAGATGTGACATTTTTAATGAGTTAATAACTTTAAAAATTGTTTTTCAAGTCAACATTTTAGAATTCTGTATAGCGCTAGAATGCACCTTACCTTCTGAAAATAGCCGCGACGTAATGAGCGATCCTTCACTTGGCGAAAATATGCAAAACCGTACAAAAACGCACTGTCGATCTGAAGGCTTGGAGGACATTGTGAATTGTACCTGTCAACAAAAATAAGGACGGGGATCACTTACATGACTATACGGCGATTTCATTTCATATTTTTTGAAAGGTACTCTTACCCAAATCTACCAGAACGAACGGCCTTGGAACATGCCAGACAAGCAACAGAGTACAGACTAATCACGAATGATGAATAGGATACAACGAAAATGAAACAAAGACTTGCTGCATGGATTAACAACTACGCAAAAAAAAGAACCGGAATAGAAGAATAACCCAGGACGATGAAGGCACAAGAAGGAGCTTTAAATAACCAACGTGGTCCTTAGGCGGCCTTGTCCTCGTCATCTGCTTAAAGGGACCCTCCCACCTTCAAAAAAGTTAATGAATTGGCATGAAAGTGATGTCGCTCGGTTCAGAAAGAGCAAAAACGAATATCTACCAAATTTCATCGAAAAATATTCACCGGTTTTCAAGATATTAGACTTTTACTTTTGTTTACTTTTTGGGATCTCCGCTGTTCCTAGCGACTTTATTTGAAAGTGCGGCATTTGTTGCGCGCAAAGCAGCATATACCACCGCGTGCTACAAAACAGGGCCTCCTCTAAGGATTTTTCACTGGGTGGGCAGAATTTTCGCTACTCCCCTGCCCAAGGGCGAATCCAGCCACTATTTTGAGGTTCAACCAATTTCAAAACCTGTTACCGCGGGGGGGGGGGCGGGGGTGAGGCGAAATAAGCAGTGCCGTTATTGGAAATAAGATGATAGTTTGCAAAGTTAACTTTTGTCGTATGTTTTATGGTTAGCGATGCTCGAGCGATTCGTTCCAGAGTTACATGTACAGCCCTCCGCAAACTGCGTGGTAGGTAGGTATTCTTATTCGGTATATTGACAATGTACCAGTTTTTGTGACCTTGTGACCTGGCCTCGGGTCACTAGAACCTAAAACTCCAAGGCCAAGTGACAAACAGATGCTCCAAGCCGTGTCTTAACCCTCGCCTGTGTGCGGCGTTTGCCAGCTTCTAATGTGTAGGGGGGGGGGGGTCGGTTGGACCCCCCCTTGCCGTTTGGCCCCTGATCAAGCTAGAGCTTCGCGGAAAAAACGAGCGTGTTGCCCGTGACGAGAGGAAGCCGATGATACCCAATTTTAAGGTCCTAGGTCATTGGTTGACCTTCCAGGTCAGGTCAATGACCCAAAGTCGGGAAAATCGGGACCTATTAGAAAGTCGTAAAGTGTGGCTGCTAAGGGGTTTTTCGGGGTGCTGATCACGAATATCGTGTTAGTTTTGATCACAGATGATGTATTTAAGCATTTAGACCAGGTCGGGTCAGGTCAGGTCAGATCAACCAGTAGGGGTTGTGACGGGTGTTCGTAGTACCTGTCAACCGCCTCTGACAGCTTCGTAACATGTTACGAAGGCACCAAAACTACTTCGTAAATGTTCAAATGGTTGCTAAATTCGAATTCAGCTCCAAAAACTAGCCTAGAAACATGTAAAACTCAAAAAAGTGAACCGAGGTCACCCGAGGTCACAAAAGGTCAATGACCTGACCTGACCTTCAGGTGACCTTGACACCCACCCTAATGCATGGGAGCAACATCAAATCATATGTTTGAACGTTTGAAACCACGAAAAGCTTGCAAACGCGCGGCTAATGCGAGCCGACATACGCGGAATCGCGATTCCGGCCAAACATGGTCTCGGAAAAGAGGTCACAGGTCAAAGGTCATTTAGGTCAGGGTCATGAAATTTCCAGGGTAGGTGTAAAATTGATCAATGCGAGGGTACTGAAAGTTTCATTGCGATCGGCCGCTTTTTACGCGAGTTATTCGCGAAAAACCATGGGGGGTCCATCCGACCCCCCCCCCCCTACACATGCGAGGGTTAAATTTGGTAGCGCTACGTGCTATAGAACTCACGCTATCAACGAAAAACTCTGGCATTCGGTTGCCGCTAAACTACATAGTCCAATTTTCCCCTGACCTTGTACGGGGTTTGTGACCTGGTGACCTGACCTGAAAAGACTAGAGACCTGAAATTTTCAGGACAAGTGCCAAAAGGTTGCCCCAGAGGCCCAGAGGGTATGCTAAATTTGAGCGCCGCCGTTTTTACGTTATTTGTGAAAAACCTTAGGGGGATGCATCAACCCCCCTCACCGGGCGAGGGCTAACTAACATAATACATTGTAGTAAAGGCTACCCGAACCGGTAATGATTCTTGCTTATTTGTTTAGCTCAGCCGTATTTAGAGATTTAGCTGGCTTTGTCCATGAATAACAATATCGGCAGGGGCGTAGCCAAGGGGGAGGGGCCACGGGGGCAATGGCCCCCTCCCTTGAGCGCAAAACGCGCCATGGGGGAGCCCCTCAGGCCCCGGGATATTTTTTTCAAACACTGGATAAAACGTCTTTTGCTCGGAAGAAAATTGATATCGAAGTTTCATTTCTGTGGCCCTCTGATGACCCAATGGGCCCCTGCACTCATCCGATGACCCCCGGTTTCCTGGGGCCCCTGGTCGCCTAGAGGGCCCCGGTCGCTTGGGGGCTAGTCGCCTGGGGGCCTGGTCGCCTGGCCCCTGCCCCCTGGTCGCCTGGAAGAACGCTTGTCACCTGCATTGGCATAGCCAAGGAGGGGGCCAAAGGGACCATGCCCCCCCCCCCCTGGAAGCCAGGGGTCCTTATTCTATAGGGGCCCTGGCTGACACAGTGGGCCCTTGGCGACGCAAAGGCCCCTGCGGCAGATCCTTTGACACAGCTGAGTAGTTATACTTTGGCCAAGAGAGCCCCAATTTTAGAGCCTTGGGGCCCTATTGAAACCAGGGGGCCAGTTGGATGGGATGGGTTCAACTTGGGTCCAACGGTGTGTAAACAGAATCAATGCGTTCCGACTGTTGGTCTGACCCTATATCGGTTTGAGGGAGCTCGGATCGGATCCACTGTCGATCTGAGGGGCCCCTATCGGTTTGAGGAAGCCCTCAAATGCCCTGAACGGGTTCTTAGTTTGTCTGAGAGAGCCCTCCGTCGGCATGACTGGGCCTCTGCAAGTGCAAGGAGGGCTTTTGTCGGTCTTAGTGGCCCTTAGGCGGCTTATATGACCCTCAGACGGCTTACGAGGCTCTCATGCGCTGTAGGGGCCTGTGACGGTCTGAAGAACCCTTATCCGACCTACGGGCCCTCAGATCGCCCTCAAAACCGACTGGCGACTCTATGAAGCTATTCGTGGGCCTATCTAACAGGGCCCATGGACTGCTTACCCCCTCAGTTCTAATATTTTTTTGTTAATAACTATTTTTCTATTTATTTGGGCCCCCTCCAAAAAAAATATTGGATCCAACCAGATGGCTTTTTGGATTTTTAGGGGGTTATTTTGGGCCCCTGTGCGTTTGGCCCCCTCCTTGAGGAAATTCTGACTACGCCCCTGAATATCGGGCAACCAGAAAACTTTTTTTACCTTCAAACAGCCTCCAGTTTGCTTAAGACCAGAAAGGTAGTACCGGACGTCCGGCCGGACCAGAATTTTTGCATTTGCTTCTGCACGGGTGGAGAATTGTGCTGGACTGGGGGTGCTCGAGCTCTCCCAATTCCACGCCGGCTTGGCTTTGGAGCCGCGGCCGGGCGGCGCGGGTCAAGGTCACCGCTAGGCTGCGGCGGATTTGCTGCGCCCGAGCACCCCCAGGTCCCCCAGCTGGTCACAATTCTCCACCTATGTGCTTCTGGGTGGGCAAATCGACGCCACTGGGTGGGCAATTGTGGTGACTGGGTGGGCATTTGCCCACCCAGTGGGTATGTTAGAGGAGGCCCTGCTACAAAACGTTTTAGTCAAACATTTAAACAAACATTTAAAGGGACCCTCCCACCTTAACATTAGTTTTGAGTTGAGATAACCAAGTTTGCGGCCAGGCTCAGAAACCACCATTTATCCTGGTCGCAACCCCCGCAGCTTTATGGTGTTCAAGAAATTTCTTCCCTTTACTTGCAGGGTGGGACCAGCGTGGTCCCTATCTCTTAACCATTACGGGAATCTGATGACGTCATCAGGCTTTCGAACGTCCGTTAAATGTTAGACTAAAACGTTTTGTAGCACGCGGTGGTATATGCTGCTTTGCGCGCAACAAATGCCGCACTTTCAAATAAAGTCGCTAGGAACAGCGGAGATCCCAAAAAGTAAACAAAAGTAAAAGTCTAATATCTTGAAAACCGGTGAATATTTTTCGATGAAATTTGGTAGATATTCGTTTTTGCTCTTTCTGAACCGAGCGACATCACTTTCATGCCAATTCATTAACTTTTTTGAAGGTGGGAGGCAGACATGTGCTTGGATCCGAGAGCTGGATCTATGATCTCAGTGGATCTCTCGACAAAATAGAGGGGTTGGATCTATGATCCGAGTGGATCTCTCGACAAAATTCAGGGGTTGGATCTATGATCTGAATGGATCTCTCGACAAAATTTAGGGGTTGGATCTATGATCTCTGTGGATCCAGCGGGCAAAAATTTGTGGAGGACCTATGATCTGTATGGATCTCACGACAACATGTAGCCAATGAAACCCTTATCCTACATAATTGTACACCTTACAGTGCAATACAATTGAGAATTATCACTTGTGGACATGGTTATTGGTTAAGACCACTTGTGATCATTAGGTATCATCATTAAATTTGAATTTAAATAAACAACATTTGTACTACATTTAAAATAAACCAAGAACATGCATATTGCTACTTTTTGTGACCAATTGTAACTTTTTCATGACAGCACTGATGACAATCTTATCAACAAGCTACAGCCACTTTAATTCAAAGAACAAACAGTACAGACAGATGCAGTGGCAGCAGGGCACTGCAGATTTTCATTTTGGTCCCATTCTTTCTGCAACGCCAGTAGGGCTAATGCTAAAATGCCAAAATCTATGGGGGGCACTGTACCCTGGTGCCCCCCCCCCCCCTGTTCTGCCGCCTATGGACAGATGTTAAGAAATCAAACCTGGAAGCCAAATAGGTCAGTTTTGTTAAAAATAATCCAGCAGTCCACTTCTGCCAGGTATGAAATCCCAATCCAGAATGTTCATATGAGCTATTAGTATGTGCAACACAATTTCGATTTAGTAAGAATAGCAACCAACCTCTAATACTTTCCTAATAAAATTACAAGTTCAAAAATGGCATCAACTTGTTCAGATTACCTACTTTTGGCCACTTTTGGCGTCGTGCCACGTGTGGTGCCATCTGTGCTTTTGTTATGAGAGAGCCTCCCAAAAAAAAGACAAACGAAATTCACAGCTCACGTTTTGGTAATATGGTTTTATTACGTCATTATCGTTTGACCAATGAAAAATCTTAATTTGACCCAGGCCGTAATGATTCCAAAAGATTCCCCGTAATAGGCCCTTTAAACTAATGACGTAAGATATTGTTATTCTTTTAAAAAGTGAATAAAATAAAGATGCAAGGCGCACACCGCTCAGGGCCATATAATACCGTTTCAGCTTACGTTTACGTCATTAAATTCAACGCTACAAAGATGATATTCACAAACAATCGTATCGTAAAATTATGTGAGGCAGAAAAAAAGAACATTCTTTAAAAAAAAGCTCCAGACTTTTGAATTCCCAGTTTGATTTTTTACTTATTTTCATTATACTCGAAGGTAGAACGCCTAGCTCATTTGTAATTTGAAATGACGTCACGATTTCAATTTAGATATTGAATAATAATTTTACAGTAAATATCCAAGGCCATTACTTATGGATATTTCGCTTCCCATCGCTTCCGCAGGCTGTTGAATATTTTTATACTTTTGTTTATATCTCAGTTTATTTTATCAAATATTTCTTTCAATAGATCAAGATTGAAATACCTTTACCTAACCAAGCTACATGTGTCAGTATCATCTTTCATTGTTTATCAATCAATTGTGGTAGCTGGAAACTGGAAAGCCTGATGGTTGTCTAATGCAAGATCAATGAGATTGTCTTATCAATATCATTATGTAGATTCTAACATGAATTGTGATGTGGTAGGTACCTAGTTATGTATTGTTCATTAGTCATTACTTTGACTTACCTCTATGTTAATTGTTAATGCAAACTTTTCTGTTGGTATGTGAACTGTGAACAATCTTCATGTCACTCAATTCTCTCAAGTTGTGACCGTCATGAGCCTTCTTTATTTAATATTATGTATAATGTAACTGGATGCCTTTACTAATATGGTCTTTGTATAAGATTGTTTGTTTCTAACCATACTTTGGTATTCATAACTTCTTATGAAAGAAAGTTGTTAACATTTTGGGCACCTATGAGCTATGATCCCAATGGATCTCACGACAAAATTGGGGAGCCAGATCTATGATCCGAGTGGATCTAGCGACAAAATTGAAGGGTCAGATCTATGATCCTAGTAGATCTCTCGACAAAATTGAGGGGTTGGATCTATGATCTGAATGGATCTCGGATCGGGATCCATGGGATCGGATCTCAGATCCATTTTTCCGGATCCAAGCACATGTCTGGTGGGAGGGTCCCTTTAACGGACGTTCGAAAGCCTGATGACGTCATCAGACTCCCGTAATGGTTAAGAGATAGGGACCACGCTGGTCCCACCCTGCAAGTAAAGGGAAGAAATTTCTTGAACACCATAAAGCTGCGGGGGTTGCGACCAGGATAAATGGTGGTTTCTGAGCCTGGCCGCAAACTTGGCTATCTCAACTCAAAACTAATATTAAGGTGGGAGGGTCCCTTTAAACATTTTAATAGGGATTTAGCACGTGATCCGCGCGCCGCGTGCGCCAGATGCTGGAACCCTCAACTCGACGACAGCCGATCTGCAGCCGATCAGGTGCCTCACGTGTGAATGTCGCTAGATGGCGAGAATGTGATGAACCCGCTCTTAACAAAGGCATATTCGTCCTGGCTGGCTTGCAAAAAAGCAACTCCAGTATCCAGTAAATAAGGAAACGCATGCATCATTCGGGAATAGCGTGACATGATTTCTTTGTCAGAATGCCTACACAAATATTTGGTGCCTTCATAAAAACACAAAATTTGCATGCGCTTGTGACAATAAAGTACATGAAAGTCATCGTCGGGTAATGTCGTCACTGCATTAATTACTTCACTCCTCTATTAAAGTTTGGCCGGCATTCACAGCACGACACTTACCTCAGCTGAACGTCCGAGAGCCGGGTGGCCTCCTCGGCGGAGCGCATCATCCGGAAGAAGAACGGCGTGTCGCCCATGCAGCCCGAGTTGGAGTCGGGGAAGGCCAGGTAGCAGACACTGCTCCTCTCCTGGTCGCCCAAGCGGCTGGCGCTCGGCAGCACCAACTGAACGCACAGACACAGAGTGGCGTCACTGATAATGGTTGGAGTTTAAGAACAAAATGACAGTCATCTGTGGGAATAGCATGATAACGATGACTCAAATGGACAAATAGTAAGTGTCAAGCAGCAACTACATTAATAGCAGCTCGATTTTAATAATTGACACAGATAATGTATGCCTTTGAAGGTGCAATGAACTTACATCACATTTCCTTCGAAAATAATGTCTATCATAGACAACCATTTCATAGTCATCCCTATACGGTGCATTTTCCGTTCAGACATAGCCGAAACGATTCAGTCGTTTCAAAAGGACCCAATGCCAATTTATACAACTTGTAAAAGGCTCTTTAAATTCATTGAAGAACTTTCACGGTTAAATATTACCGGGATAGTAGGCTAAGCGCGTGCCATCCCTGAATCGGTTGGACAATGACCGGGGATACATGACCAGAGTAAATACGAAGGATCACAGTGCTGAGTCACGGATCACATAACGGATCACATTAGGTGATCCGTGGCTGAGCTAATAGGAAAATCCGTTCCTGATACGCGGATACGCTGATACGCGTATCCTGATGATACGCGTATACATGATACGCTGATACGCGTTTCATGTATTCGGGGCCACTGTCCAGCAACTGTCACATTCACGGCACTACACCGGCACAGCGACCACACACCACCGTCTCAGAGTCACCTCATGGCCAGCGCCTCCGAGTCCGCTCACAACTGGCCTCGATCACAGGGCGAGACTGGGACCGGAGTCGGGCGCGGCCCGCGGCGGAGCGGGCGGCAGGGCGCCGACCGGTGCCCCTCCCCTTACACCCCTCCCCCCCCCCGACATCCCAGCGTATCATATTCCTCGGCTGGTCGGCGTCGGCCGCTGGGGAGGGTTACATGGCACGAGGTTGCACGGCACTTGACGGCACAGTGGCGGATCCAGGGGGGGCAAAATGGGCATTTGCCCCCCCCCCCCAAACGGCATGATTTTAACATTACGCCTATGGGCGATGCATGGAAAGAATCGATAAATTTTTATGGTTTGCCCCCCCCCCCCCCAAACCTCTGAGCTGGATCCGCCTCTGTGACGGCAGACGGGCACTCCCCTCCCCCAGATTTCCTCTGCGGCGGATCCTGATTTTTCCTTCCCCGGACCGCCGTGTATGGCCTACCTTTTGCTCCATGTTTTCTGCACATTTGAACTTTTCAAACTTACCCCGCGTTCGATGTCTCTCGGACGACGAAGATTCTACGTCGTCTGGCCAATCCCGTTCAAGGTCAACGGGGGCTCGGCTGTGGTTGTGGAACGTGATTGGCCGGACGGCGTAGAATCTTCGCCGTCCGAGAGACATCGAACGCGGGGTTAGTTCATTTCACTCTCGCCCGTATTGGTGTTCTGCCAGCCTCCTCTAACTTATGGGGATGGAAGGGTCCGTTGGACCGTAATGAGCGATCCTTCACTTGTCGCCCCCCCCCCCCCTTGCTGTTTGGCCCCAGATCGAGCAAGAGCTTCGCGGAAAAAAAAAACGATCGTGTTGCCCGTGATCAGAGGAAGCCGGTGATACCCAATTTTAAGGTCCTAGGTCATTGGTTGACCTTCCAGGTCAGGTCAATGAACCAAAAGTCTGGGAAATCGGGACCTGTTAGAACATCGTAAAGTGAGGCTGCTTGAGGGGTTTTCGGGGTGCTGATCACGAATTTCATGTTAGTTTTGATCAGAGATGATGTCTTCATGCATTTAGGCCAGGTTGGGTTAGGTCAGGTCAGGTCAACCAGTGGGCGTCCTGCAGGGCATTCATAGTACCTACGTGTCAACCGCTACCGACAGCTTCGTAACACCTTACAGAGGCACCAAAACTACTTTTTAAATGTTCAAATGGTTGTTCAATTCAAATCAGCTCCAAAACTAGCCTAGAAACATGTAAAACTCGAAAAAGTGGGCCGAGGTCATCAAAGGTCAATGATCTGACCTGACCTTCAGGTGACCTTGATAGTTGATACTATTTTTGATAGTTGACACTTTTTTATAGTTGATACGATACGTACCATAATGCATAGGACCAACATCATATCACATGTTTGAACGCTTGAAACCGAAAGACTGCAAACGCGCCGCTAATGCGAGCCGACATACCTACGCCGAAACGCGATCCCGGCCAAACATGGTCGAAATAGGTCACAAGTCAAAAGTCATATAGGTCAGGGTCATTAAATTTTCAAGGTATGTGTAAAATTGATTGACTTGAGGGTACTGAAAGTTTCGTCACGATCGGCCAGTTTTTAAGCGTTATTCGCGAAAAACCGAGGGAGGCCCGTTCGACCCCGTTTGGTCCGTTCGTTGAATATTTCTCAAATATTGTGCCCGAAAACAAACAAAACACTTGCGATCACTGATCAGCGATGTAATGTCAAGTGAGGTCATGAAAAAATGAGCAGTGCTCCAACGTTAAGGCGAGCGTGAAAATTCAAAATACATGACATCCTTACATCTTTTCCCTGTTCAAAATGGTTATTCCTGAACTGGCGACCAAGTTTCGGACGGGGTGATTTTTCCAAAACATCGTGTAACATTATATGTCTGCAGTTTGTTTCTCCGACGCCACCGTAAATTCTGAGAGGTTTTGAGCGCTCATCGGAAACATATCACAACCTTCGCCTGACTTATTTGATCGGTGTCCTTGAGGATGGCGTTACACAGGCCATTGTACGTGGTTTTGTCGAGTGTTTCAGTTCAAATGAAAATTCGCCACATGTCTCCTAACATTTCTGTTAATGTCAAGCATGTACAATTTTTGGCGCCTTATCACAGCGCTGTTTTTGAAGAAGTGCCGAGAGCATGGCTCCTTCACATTGCTAACCAAGTGAGCCAGCCTTTACGGGACCTTAGTCAAGTGGTGTTTCCATTTTCTGTCGCGTAGCGGCGCTGGTAGCACCAATTCCTGATAGCTGTTGGAAGTTCGCTCTCGGCTCTGTTTGGAACTGTGCGTAGCGCTGTCAAAGTGCAGGTAGCTAATACCAGAATGAAAATCCGAACAGCTATCTGCCAGCAATTGCCAGATGGAGGCACAGACCCACAAAATACGCACTTGAGGGTGAAAACACCATAATTTAGCTTCAAGAGAAGCCATCGGCCATCGCCAGCCATCGCCAGCATGACATACTCACAACACAAACTCAGGGACTATTAGCTACCCAAGAACCCAAACTCAAACATCAGCATATAAGTTTGCACAGTTCAAACAGTCTCAACAATCAGCTCCCATCCCAACAGAGTACCATTGTCATTCACAGGAAAGCAAAAAAAAAAAAAAAAGAGTAGCTACTCCAATTCTCTGTGCACTTGAGTCAACACCTGTCAGATCAGATGCTTGTGTGAAACACTCACCTCCATGGCTTGTCCTAGCTCCAAGTCAAATGTGACAACGCAGATGGCATGCACCCAGTTGTCAAAGGTGTCCCATGGCAACATTTTGCCCATATCTGGACAGCTGGCAGACACTGACACTCGTCTTACTTCATCCATGGTCACAAGTTGTTTTTCATTCAATTGGGCTGTAATGCAAAATACACATTAATATTGGTGTATGTACACCGTACCTATCATGCTTAACAACATACAACATACTTTTTTAAAGTGACCATCCCTATTCCCACCTTAACACGCGCAGTGCAGGGGGGTTGTTTTCAACCCCCCCCCCCTCTGGTTTTTCGCTGTAACTCAAAAACCAGTGAAGCTACGACTTTGAAACTTTGTATAGATGTTCATCAAACAATTTTACATCACCTCTGAAAAAAATAGTGTTAGGTCATGCAAGGTCAGGTCACCAGGTCACGATAAGTGACCTCACCTCAAAAAAGTTTGACGCTGTGCTACATCCACACCATTTGACTGAATGCTATGAAACTTTCAGAAACATATTAGGAGACCATAAGGAACATTTTGTACATTTCGAAATTTTTATTTCTGTGACCTTAGGTCAGGTCACTTTTTGGGGCCTGGCAATTGGCATGCAATTTCGGACATAACTCGAGGAGTATGGGACATAGAAACGTCATTCTTTCACCATCCCGCTTATTTTATCAAGACGCGTCGATCAAGATGCAACTTGACCTAGTTTGGTCAATGTTTGACCTAACATGACCTCGATCTCAGGTCACCTGAGGACTGAGGTCACCAACGGTTTTTCTTCAATAACTTTTAATTGAATAGAGATAGAGACTCCGTTCGACGTTTATCATGTTTGTCTCGTCAAAACGGATCGAATGATATGCTACATGACCTATTTCGGTCAGGTCATGACCTCGACCTGAGGTCAACTTTTGAACTTGACCTTTCGAGGTCATATTATACACCATCTGATGCGCCTTGACGAGCTAAGAACGATGGTGTGTGAATTATTTCTCTATCTCTTTGGGAAGAAAGGGTATTGCAGAAAAAGCATTTCCGGAAAATTTGCAATATTGATCTGACATTACATGACCTCTATAGGCTGAACCGTTGACCTTAGGTCAAATCTGAGGACAGCTTAGCAAAAGAGCGTTTCAACAGCTATCGAATGCTTTTTTCGCAACTTTCTAGCTCATCTAGTTCCCGAAATAAAGCGGGAAATATGGAGGGATGTCGATTGTCGAGATCGATAAAAATCGCAGCATTTTGAGTTTGGTTACCTCTGCTGACCTCGTTTTTGACCTGACCCAAAAATGATCTTAGTATTTCTTGTAGATCTTATCTCAACCTATCCAACGCCGTTTACCGCTTGTCGCTACGTTGCGCCGTTTTCGAGATCTCAGGGGGTGTTGTTTTCACCCCCCCCCCCCTGCAGTTCGTGTTCGGCTCAGACCCGCTGCAGTGCGCGTTTAACATTAGTTTTGAGTTGAGATAGCCAAATTGGGGTCCCTGGCTTGCAATTACCGGTTTGGGCACTCACAACATCGAGAAATGTCTTAAATCGAAAGTAATTAATTTCAAAGTTGCAGCACTTTGGATTCAGAAGGGCTACTGCATTTCAATGCCCCTCTGAATTTGTGACGGCAGTGCAAATCTAATGATTTTTAAGTCACATGCTAAAACCTTTGGTAAAACGTAATGGTATTGCTGTTTTGCGCGCAACATCTGCCGCACTTTTAGGATGTCAAATTATTGCTTCCAAATGACGTCACAGGAACAGCAGAGGTCCTTAAAAGTAAACAAAAGTTAAAGCGTAATATCTTGAAAACCAGTGAATATTTTTCGGTGAAATTTGGAAGATATTTGTTTTTTGCTCTTTCTGAACCGAGTGACATCACTTTTATGCCAATTCGTTGGCTTTTTGAAGGTGAGAGGGTCCCTTTAAACTATATTTGATGCACGACCCGAGCTTTTTGTCGCTGGTAGCACACCCATGCTGGGTTAGTACACTATATACCTACATTACACAGCAGTGATACGAAGCGCTCCCGGCACCCGCCAAGCGGGACGGTAACCGGACAAAAGATCGTAAAGCAGAAGATCGTATGGCAGAAGATCGTAGGCAGCTGATCGTATGCAAAATATCGTAATGGATAAAGATCGTACGACATAATGCTCGTATGGACAAAAGATCGTATTCGCTAAAGATCGTCAAGGAAAATGATCGTATGCCAAAAAGTCGTAATGGATAAAGATCGTACGACATAATGATCGTATGGACAAAAGATCGTATTCGCTAAAGATCGTCAAGGAAAATGATCGTATGCCAAAAAGTCGTAATGGATAAAGATCGTACGACATAATGATCGTATGGACAAAAGATCGTATTCGCTAAAGATCGTCAAGGAAAATGATCGTACGCCAAATGATCTTATGAGATAAAGATCGTACAGTCAAAATATGGTATTCATATGGTGCAGCCCAACTCCAGCGCTTACAAAGCTTATCAATTTCTGTGTTCGCGTAGTAAGTGGCCGTCGTAAGCTCGACCATACATTGATGTTATTTCAGAGCTTAGATGGCTCAATGACACCTAAAAGCAACGCGTTGTATATGTGCCGAATAAATGGATGTATGTGCTGCCGTTTTCATGTACCTATTTGAAGTGAATACAACTAAACCCATGTTCCCCCCCCCCCCCCCCCCCCACCGCCTGGAAGGTTAAAATGTTGCTTAAGCGGCTGAAGTAAACGGCGTTAAAAATACTTTTTCCTTCGCACTGTTACATTTTCATATTGAATCGTCATCGCTTTACGAGTCATCAACAGATGTTTATCGCGTTATCACTATCGAAGTCGCAATTCTCCTAGTTATAGGATCCTAGTTTCAATCCAATCCTAGTTATAGGAGTCATTGTTATCGAAGGCCGGTTAAAGATGTCAATTGTCCATCATTGGTTCGAAATCGCCCCAGTAATTACCGAGTTACTGAAATGGGAACAAATTTGGCACCTCTTCTTTTTGTATTTTGCACGTGCATTGGGGGTCACTCACATAGATCAAGGGTATCCGACCTTTGGTAGAAGGGATGCAGCTACCCTATAAAAATTACCGCAAGGCAATCGCTCAAGCCGCTGCTGAGATATGGGCCTCTCAAAATCATTACTTTTGCAAAACTGCTTGAACACCCTCGACTTCTCGACGGCCACTGAGATGTATCAAAAGTAGTCAATTACGGGGAAGAAGGGATGGGACTACCCAGTAAAAAAGACCGCAGGCCAATCGGTTCAGCGGTTGCTGAGATATAAGCATCTCAAAAGCGTTACAGGCCGGGCCGCTCATACTGAGATTTTCCCGTTATAACCGAACGTTTGTTGTCAATAGTTAAAACACTATTCTTTAGAATTGTGTTTTTCTATTGAAAAACAAATCTGAGTTCCCTGACAATTTGGCAAAAGCTGCCTGATATTCAAAAGACTTCGCTTCGCTCGCTGCGCTCGCTCGCTCGTAACAACACTATTCTATGTACCTATACGATTATTTACTTTACGAACGTAACGTTGCGATCTTTTGTCGACAGGGTTGTGCTCGACTCAAAAAAAATTGCCGACTCGACTCATCATTCAACTTCAGAATCCCCTGACTCAACTCTGACTCAAACAAGGAGCTTATTTTTTCCCTTGACTCGACTCATGACTCAAGCGGCTCAATGAAAATATGAGTTGACTCAAACTTTACTCAAATTTTTTGTTGAGTCAAGTGTGTTGACTCAAAATTGACTCAGATAAAAAAGTTGTTGAGCGGGGGGGGGGGTGAAAAAATTCGGCAGCAGGGCCAGGCCTAAGTTGTTAAGCGGGGGGAGAATGAAAAACTTATACTATATATTGTTTCTAGAAAGTGGAGTCAGCTGACTCATGTTCCTTAATGTTTTTGACTCAACTCAATGTCAAAAGTTATTTTACTGACTCAACTCTGACTCAACTCAACACCTTAATATTTTTGTCCGACTCAACTCTGACTCAACTCAACAGCTCGACATTTTATCCGACTCGACTCAATTCTGACTCATTTGAGTCAGAGTTGAGTCAAATTTCTGACTCGACTCATGAGTCAAGCACAACCCTGTTTGTCGAACGATCTTTTACATCATACGATCTTTATCTTACGATCATTTTCCTACGATCTTTTTTTTTGCACGATCCATTGCTTAACGATCTTCTGCTTACGATCCTTGGTCGTACGATCTTTTGCGACATACGATATTTATCTTACGATCATTTTCCTACTATCTTTTTCATACGATCAATTGCTTTACGATCTTTTGCTTACGATCTTTTTGTCGTACGATCTTTTACAACATACGATCTTTATCTTACGATCATTTTCGTACGATCTTTTGCATACGATCAATTGCTTTACGATCTTTTGCTTACGATCTTTTTACCGTACGATCTTTTACAACATACGATCTTTATCTTACGATCATTTTCGTACGATCTTTTTCCATACGATCTTTTGTCTTACGATCTTTTGTCACGTAATCAATGTATGTACGGCTCTCGCGAGATTAAGCGGTAGGTTTAGCACTTTTACATTTCCAGTTATATCTCAGAAACTAATCGATCTGCGATTAAGCCATTTTACACGATCATGGCCAGCTTGTGAACCAACAAGTCGATCGCATCTTCAACACTTAAAAGCTTAAGACGACGAAGATATAGCCTGAAGTACACTAAATTTTATAGGTGCAAAACCTACTGTTAGAACCCGCGAGACTTGTACACTCGGGGGCAGATTGATGTTCCACCACTCCCCACCCATCGGGCTCCCATGGCTCAGCACTGGCCGCTGCTAGTGTTGCCTGCCCTCAGCACTGCTCAGCACTGCCTGCCAGTGCCAGTGCTGCCAGTGCTGCCACTGGCAGCAGCCAGTGCTGAGCCATGGGAGCCCGATGGGTAGGGAGTGGTGGAACATCAATCTGCCCCCGAGTGTACCTGCGGCCGGGGACGCTGGCTGGCACAGCGGTAATCCCCACGACCGAGCAAACACTCCCCAATTACTGTCATCTCCTGGGTAGGAGCCGGCCGAGGAAAATGCTATCAGGGCCCCGTTGTGCTACAGCGCGCTACGCGTAGCCAGGTATATTGGGTTTCCATGCAAACATCAACAAACTCGAACGCTTGCAACGCTGAAGCGTTGCAGCAAATTCGTTGCAAACGCCGCACCAGTACTGTAGCCAACTGTAGTTGCATGCCAAGAAGCAGGGCCCAGAGGTCAGCTTTGATCCAAGGACCTCCCACACCAAATGCCAATGCACTTGCCAGCTGCACCACAAGGGTTGTCCACATAATACACTTCTGACAGGTTCAGTGAAATGGTACCTATACCAATATACAGCAAAAATATAAGACAAAGATAGACAGCTAAGCTAATTTGAATTGAACAGGCTGCTTTTAAGTACCTATTCAAACTTACCTAATTCATAGCATGTAATTTACTGCACAAGTTAGAAATCTTTACAGGCTTAACTCAAAATAATGTAGGGTGAATTAGCATTTAGACCATGGATGAAGTATTCCATTCATATAGAGACCATCTGTATTCATTTCATGATAGCAAAATGCAATTGGCACACTTCAGCCCCTTCATCATACAATTTTAGAACAGGAATAAATACAGCTGTCACTAACATAAAAATGATGACCATCAAAATGTGTAGACTGCAGTCAATGTTGTTACCAAGCCTTGAATCTTTTGTCATTGTTTTAAAGAAATGACATTCCCAATCCCTCATGGAATAAACCATATAAATGAAATCGCTGGATGAAGCAGATGGAATAAAGGTCAATGAGAAATTTAATTCTGTACTGACTTGTTGCCATTGGCAAATCTAGTGACAATATATTAATCTTTATGAGATTAAACAATTAAATTGTCATTAAATTGTAAATTAAAAGTTATAAACAAAAATTACATTCATCATTTAGCATGACAAATTAACTTGTTTAAAAAATGTTTGTAAGTAATCAAAAGAAAATTGTGATATTGTATAGGGCCAACACAAAAAGGTCAGCTTAAAGGGACTATCCCACCTTTAACATGGGGTTTGAGTTGAGATAGCCAAGTTTGCGGCGAGGTTCAGAAACCACTATCTATCTAGGTTGCAACCCCCGCGGCCTCTTGGTGTTGAAGAAATTTGTTCCCTTCATTTGAAAATGGGCCTTGTACAAGGCCCTATCTTCAACATGGAGCGACCGTTAGTGTGACGTCACCTCGTTAAGTCATTCTGATTTAAATGGGTTTGTTCGTTGAAAAATCGCTTAAAACTTGGTCTGAACTTTGTTGTGGTGCCTACAGAGTAAAAAGAATCAGCTTTATGACAGTAATGCGGCCTGGGGAAGGAGGTAATTTTGGGCTGTGACGTCACATTTTTGAAAGTTTGTGTTTGGAATATGGGAAGCCTAAGATGTTTAATGAAAAATAAATGCCAGAACCGTGTTCCTGGTCATCCAATCTATAAAGTCGGGCACAATTTAACTGGTTTTAACAACATTTTAGAAGGTGGGATAGTCCCTTTAACAGTAACCAGGGGCTCAATCCAAAACTGGGATGACGGTGAAACAGGGCACCTGGGGCACTTTGATCAAGGCTCTTGAAATTCACTCACACAAACCACGTGACAATCACTGTGTAGAAGCCATTACGAGGGGGAGAACTTCTCAATAGACAGGTGACCTAATATGCCCTCCGGCGCCCTGTTTTCGCTGGTGTCACCAAACTGCTGCCACGTCCGGCCACCCTCTATGAGTCTATTTTCACGAATCCTTCCATTCCAAATCAAAATGCTCGGACTTTATTTTAATTGGCATTTGGCAATGTTACAAATCTATCAAAACTATTGCATGCACTATTTGCCTTGCTTAGGTAACAAATAATTAATCAATGATCACAGATATCTAGAAAAATGGGAAGCTGATAGTCGATACTAAAGAAATCAAAACAGTGTTCCCAAGTTAATCGCTTTTTGTTTTGGACCTCAACCTCGGGAGCCTGAGCTGAGCCGGAACTGATGTTCAGGAAAGTATTGCGATTTTATTGCTTTGATTGCAATCAAGTTTCTTTATGAACATTATCTCTAAATACCAATGCAAATAAACAAACTATAAATACCCACCAACAAATCAAAATTGCATAAATATTACCCAACTGACTAACCACTTCTACCCACTTTGACTTCATTTTCCAATTTTGATTTCGAAATCGAGCGACATAAATGGCGCAACTGATTGCTTCCAAATTGGCCGTGCTAAAAACCTTCATCAGGGAAATTTCTTATATCAAATAACATTGCAAAAGTAAAGTAATCTTGATTGCATTTACCAGGGCGCTAGTGGCCGTTACAACATGGAACCTATTTAGGTATTATTTAGGTTACAGGGGTTACAGTATCGTCCAACGAATTCCATAATATTCTTTATACGGAGTTCAATGCACAGATTGGGGAAATTAACATCGCTTGAGTCGCTGGACCTCTCTCTCCGCTTTCTTTATAACGAGCGAGCCAGCGAAGTGAGCGATGCAAAGTCAACGGAAAAAAATCTCAAGCATCCGTCTTCGTCATCCTCCGCAGGGCAGCGGAGTCGATGGATTTTTGGATAACACCGACTCCGACTCCGAATCCGACTCCAGCTCCGACTCCGGACGTTTTTTTTTTAAATCCTTATCATGATAATAAAGTTCATAGTGGAGATGCTTTATTTTGCCTGAAACGCCCCCTTTGCGCGTTCCGATGCCTTGCATTACAAACATGCTTTATAAATAACATGCAGAATTAAAACGCAGGTTCTGACGATTTCGCCGTCATCTGCTTCTTTCGCTAAAAACGTTCGTCTTAAACAGGACTATGGCCTTTCTTTCGACAAAATCTAATTTCGAAAGGTCATCGAGCATATTCGTCACAAACACGTACAGGGCATGACGTTGAGCCATGCAGCGTTAACTCCGACTCCGGTGTCGGAGTCGGTAAGATGTTAGCGACTCCGACTCCGACTCCGACACCGGGCAGAACTGTCGACTCCGACTAACTCCGACCCCGACTCCACAGTCCTGATCCTCAGGACAATTAACCCATCCGCATCCCCTTCATGCTCCATTTCCGGACAGGCGGTCACCTGCCGGTGGATGAGGTTGTGTTCACATTTTACCCGCAAGTCCTCTCCGGGGTGACCGTTTGAGACTAGAGGCAGGCGACGTCCCAACGCGAACGGGGCAATCCAGTTCCACCGGGACGGTCTCGCCTCCTCGGCTCACTGTCGGTGTCCCGTGTCCCGCACAGTCTACGCCCCGTCCCGTCCTATCAGTTTATAGTTCTGCATTCTGCAACGGTCTCTTCAGGTCGAAAGAGCAATTATAGATACAAAACAAAAAAAGTATGGCCCGGCCCGGCCCAGCCTGTAACGCTTTTGAGAGGCGTAGGTATATTTCAGCAACGCAACCACTGGTGACTGGGGCACTTGACCTGAATTTTGTAAGGTAGTTCCATCCCTTCTTCCAGGCATCGGATACTCTTGATGCATATGCTCGTAAGTGACCCCCCATTGGACGTGGCAAATGCAAAATGAAGATGTCAAATTTGCTCCCGTTACAATAACTCAGCAATTAGGTACTGGGGGATTGCGCTGAAACTTGGCATGCGTGTAGGTAGTCCACCGAGCGATGCCTAGCCTTATGTCATGTCATGGTTTGGGTGCTACTGCTCGTGCGCACGTGCAGGGATTGTTGCCAGATCTCGAGAACGGCTGGGCCGATTGCGTTCAAATAGTCACCGAGCTATCCCGCGCCCCGTAGGGGGGGGGGGCCGAAACGGCCCCCCTGTCCTTTTCGGTCGATATCTCCTAAACGGCTGGAGATATCGCCACCAAACTTTCAGGACTCCTCCGGGCATCAATTTTACACATTGTGACCAAACATTTTTCCAGAGGCTATAATAGGTTGGCCACAAATGACGTCAGAGTGACGTCATGTTCTGTCATTTTCGACCGAAAAAAGACCTTCGCGAGAAGACCTGTCAGGCCTACAGCTTTGAAGATACAGAAAAATGATCAAACATAAAAGGTATAGAATTGACAGGGCTACAAAACTGCTATCTCGGATTTTTGAAATTTTTGAGTTTTGATCCCCAAAAATCAAAAAAGCATTTTTTTATATATTAGCCAAAAAATCCAAAAAGTTTTTTGAGTTTCGAAAAAACCGGAATATATGTGATAGTACCTACCGTCTTCTATCTACATACCAAATTTCAGATCGATACCTCGTTTTTTGGCCAAGTTATAGCGAAAAAACTGTTCAAAAATGATGACATCAAATTTTCAAACTCAATTTTTGGCGATTCTAGAACTCGTAGAGCAAAACGAAGACCACCATTAGACTCCCCGTGACGAGCTGCATCGAATGGATACCCATTTTATGCAAAAATATCAACTTTGAAATTTGACCTAATTTGACCTGACCTTGACCTGACCTTCACCAAAACGTGACCTAGGCTGGCCCCAAAGGCTGCCTAACCCACATAATCGCATTTGCCATGTAAAATGGACCATAAAACATGTATCACACGACACATTCATATTGTGACCCCCGGTGACCTAACCTCGCTGTGACCTGACCTGGTATCAGTGACCTCAGATAGCAAAGTATGTGTTTGACGAACAATATACCATCGATGGTTTTCAATAAATTACCAATTTACTCGATTTCACAGCACATTTCTTGAATTGCCTGTGAACGGTGAAAATCTGACCTTTGACCTGACCTGTGACGTCATCGGTTTGACCTAGGTCAATGAAATTTGGTCACAAGGTAGTTCCCGGGTAGGGCTATCAAACGCCGTTTGAATTTTGAAAATCAGCCGGTAACTTTCCGAGATCTTAGGGGGGGGGGCCGAAACGGCCCCCCCCCCCTACGGGTGGTAGGGTCCGCCGGTAGCCCTACGGGGCGCGGGCTATCCGAGGCCTGAGGCCAGGACCGGAGGTGGTTGGCAGTGCTTTCCGCGATAACTAATTTTCGGACCTGCGATAACGATAAAACGATAAGACAGGTTTGCGATAACGATTAACGATAAACGAGAAAAATATCAAAAAATTAACAGCGATAGCGATACAACGATAAAACGATAACGATAATTTTTTTTAACAGCGATAACGAAGGAGCGATAAAGGATAAAACGATAGCGATAATTGTTTTTTTACAGGGATAACGAAACGATAAACGATACAGCGATAACGATATTCTTTAACAGCGATAACAAAAGCAATAAGAAATACAGCGTAAATAAGTGTACTTAAAGTTTATTTGCAGATCTTACTTAGCATGCTAAGTAAGTAAGAAGTACTAAGTGCACTTAGCAGATGGCAACAGGTTGCGCACACATACTGTCGCGCGGCATACACTGTCGAGTGTCGATCGTCTTTTATTTTTCCATCATCCCGTTTGACATTTTATCGTTTATCGTTCATATTTTTTGTAACTTGCGATAAGTGGATGAGCGATAATTTTGAAAATTTAGCGATAAACGATAACGATAACCGATTCATTTAACAGCGATAATTATGGTTTATCGTTTATCGCTCATCCTATCGCATGCGGAAACCAATGGTGGTTGGTAGGATTGAGAACGCTCACCGTTTCGCTTCGCCCCTAACTGAGCATAGAGCCTCGAGGAAAACAATAATCGTGTGTTCCGTTACGAGATGCAGAGACTGGTACTCGACAGCTGTCACATATGAGGATATGACAGCTGTCGACTGGTGACCTGAGACTAGGTCAAATGCGCCGAGAAAGAGCTTCTTTCTGTTCATGGTGAATAACTTCGCCAAAAATGGTAGCAGAACTTTCAGAGCCGCCTGCTTGTTCTCAATCCAGTCGCCCGGCCCTCAGTTCTCGAAATGACACTGCTGACACGGGGAAGTGGCGGCCCGGGCCATCCGCGACTTGGTAGTGACGTAGTCGGATGGCCGCCACTCACCAGCAATTTCCATGATCGTTTGGGTGCCGGGCCGCCGACCGGAGCCGGGTGCAACTGATCACTGGACGTCTATAAATATAAAGACGTCTAATAATAGGAGCCACGGGAACATTTTCGCGAGGAAATCAGCTGTTTGCGGGCTGTAACGGTCGGCGATTTATGGCGCGCAAACCTAATTCAAGAGATAATATCGCTTTCCAATAAGATAACCTTAGATTTATATCAAACATTAATATTTAAAGATGTCCAATCGTCATCAATCGCTAAAATCATTTCCACTTCCCTCAAATCTCATTTATAAACAATTCACATTTGTATTACGTGCGCCAAATATGTCTACGCAAGAGCCTCCTCCAAAAAACCAACTTTCGTTTGGGATGAGGGAGGAGGCAAATAGTGGTGGTGAGATGTGAAATCAAGATGAGCTTGGAGGAGCTTGGAGGAGCGACGGCAGGACATATTTTAACAAATTTTTACTGCGTCCCAAAGTTGAGCAGAGGGCACGTGCTACGACTAATGGCACAGGGCAAGGAACAGAGCAGGGCACTTAGGAGGGCAGAAAGTAGGGCACGGCAGGTTACAGGGCATGGCACAGGACATTTCAGAGGGAAGGGTACAGGTCAGGGCACACAGCAGGGCACAGGTCAGGGAACCGGACAGGGCACAGGGCAGGGACGCAGTGGGTCAAATCAGCAGGGGCTACGTCCCAAGGCACTGGCGGTCGCAGCCGCTAGCAAAAGGGGGGGCCAAAGTCACACTCGCGGGACATAACATTTATCCGTCACCGGGAGGGGGGGGGGGTGATCGGCTAATTTTTTACGTCCACGAGGTGCCGCGCAGTTGGCATTACTTATGCTTCATCCATCTGATTCTTGCGTGAAATTTTTAAGCTCAATTTAAGGTAAAATCACCAGTTCCATTTCCCGTCCCACGGTGCTTCCACCGGTCGGCCCACTGCACCATGACGACGGATCGGTGTAGCATAGGTATACTGGAAGGTCAGGCACGCGGATTCATGACCTTACCACTATAAAACAATTCGGAAAAGTACAGATACCTCTTGCTTTGAACAAGCATGTGAAACCCAGAGAGCATTTTCAGACTATGACATTTACTCATATAGGTAACATACCTAGTTGTGTGGCGGCGGGAGAGAGTAGGTACACCGACCGACCTCTGGAGACCCCCCACAGGTTCCGAGCTTTTAAATTGGCATCTGAGGGCCGC